AGATAGATATATGACTGTATTAATTAAGAAAGCATGTCTGATACTGTTATTTCTGGCTATGGTGTTTAATTTAGAAAAAAATTATGTTCCATTTAAAGATGTGTAATTACAGAACTTAACATATGTTGTGTCACATCAAAACCATTGTCTGAATTATGAGCGGTTCGGAACGAGTGCTCAGTAAAAGCTGCAGAAGCACTTTATTGGTTTGATTTATGTGATTGCTTTGCCTTTCCTGAGCCCTGCAGGGAGGATATAACTATGCCCCTCCCCACCTTTGTGATTCCAGGCTGTGTGCTTAGTGTAGTTAAGATTTGAGTAACAACTGAGAGTAAATAGTTTCTGTCTAGACCCGGAGTAACTCCGGTGCAGGTGAGGAATGGACTGGGAATGTGCACTGAGGGTTTCACCTGGTGGTTGCTCTGCTCAAGGATTAATGTCAGGGAGTTGACTTAGTGCACATATGCATGGGTTAAACGGCTTATCCATGTTCCAGTAGGCTTGTTGCTCCATGGGCAGAGTGAGCAGCAAGTTGTTTGCTGGCTGTCCAGATGTGGAAGCAGAGAGTTGATCCTTGGAGAGGTTTGGAAGGTGTCCAGGGAAAAGCCACAGCTCGCCGGGATGAGCTGGAGGCGGATGGGGACTGTCCTGTGCCGACAGGTGGCAGCTCATAGTCAGAAAACAGCATCTCTGGGGGAATAGCCCTGCCATAGCCTCCTTTTTCAGTAATGCAGGCAGCATAGGCCTTTTCCATTGCATGTACAGGGCATAGTAAATTTATTAAGGCAAGAATTTATAAGTGTTAAGATTCCCATGTCAGTGGGAATAGTACAGAAAGTGTAAAAGTGTGATGAAGTTGCACAACAAAGGGTTTCCTTTGCAGTGCTGCTTATGACATATTGCAAGATCACCACTAAATCTGCAAGGAATTTTGCATTAAAGCAGTTTTTGGAGTTTGTTTAATTCAAAGTGTACAAACAGAGCAAGGTCAACTCCATACCAGGTCACTAAAATCCTCAAATGGAGCAAGTAGTGCAAAAAATGCTCCTTTCTCACATATCTGCAAACACACTGATGTTTGCATTGTTCTTTGATAAACTATTTATATGGTGAAGTACTTTTTTAATTTATCTCCATCCACTGTTGGGAGACCTATTCTCTGATTTCTGGTAACATGGGGTTGCTTTGTACTTCAAACCAAAAAAGAACAGCTTCATTTCTACTATAAAAGTTGAAGCTTCTTAATCTTTAATTTCTCTCTAAGCACGTTGCATGCAAGTTGTTTGCTCAGATGTATGGAATGTGAATGAAAGTTGATATATCACCATGTGTTTTTTTTCACACCCTGCTTTCTTTCAGGCCTTATTCTTTTCCTCTACTTTTATATCTGATGGCTTTTTTTCAGTTCACTGTGTTTCATGAATCTGACTTCTTTGCTCGGAACTATTCTGCTATGAGGACTTTGGCTGTGTTGGCTTTTTCTTTCACTTGCTGCATTGTCTAAGCACAAGTCTGTTCACACATTCTGAGTATTTTATGGTGCCTTTCTTCATTACAATTGGACTTGAAATAGCCTGGGATGGAATGTTTAGGGCAAAACTCGTGTGGTGTTGGAGGCTGAATTCTAGTCTGCCTTGCAAAAGTTTTTACATATATACTTTTAGGACATAAACCAAGTTTAGCTCTGACTAAGCCAGAGATGTATTTATGAGCTTGGGCTAGGTTTTGTACTTTGTGAGCTACCTTGGAGTGGTGATGGGTGGTGTCCTAGAATGTGTATTTGTTATGGGGCTTAGCTGTTTATTTACCTGGATCTTACACAGAAGTGCTGGTTCTGTGAAGCGTGGGCAGGGTGATAGTTGAGGAATTGGCTTGAAGAGAGCTCATGTAAATATATGCTTGTCTCTTGTATCAGGCTTGTGCTTGCTTTTCTGAGTCTTGCAAATAAATGGGTACTGAGATTTTCTAAGAGCAGTATTTTGAGCTTTTAGGACAGAAAGCTTGTTTGGGGTGAGTTACAGTGGGAGTGGAATTGAGAGGCTTCATTCTAGCTTCTGCTTAAGTTACACTAACCACAGATGCTCTGGCAGGTCCACATGGTCCAGTTTGACAAGTCTAGCTCAGATATCACCAGTGCAATGGGAAAAAGACTTGACATGGTGATGAGAGTATGGATGTGTGTTGATGTGTCTTTCCTACTGCGAGCCTGTGGCACCATTCTGTGTCTGGATCCATGTACATCCCTTCCCTGAAACAGAATCAAAGAGAAACATTAATTGCCGCAAACAATTTGGAATCAAAACACTTCTGTGGTAAGTAGCTATGAAATTCTCTTCCAGAGCTAGTGTGGAGCATTCCAAGTGTGGGCAGGCCATCGAGGTCTCTGGGTAGTTGCCTTGGCTGCTCTCTTTATAAATTGGACTAAAAAATACCACCTCTGTAACTCAGAAGTAAATGTAGGTGTGTACCTGCATTGCTGCATAGATTAGATAAATTCACAGTGATATTTGAAGCAAAGGCTCTAGCTTGGGCTGGTATTTTAGTGATTCTTCTCCCACTGGGAGAGCAGTAAATAGTCTTAGATTGTAAAGATGGGACTAGAAATTGAGGTCACAGTATAATATGCAAGACCTTTTTTTTTTTTACCTTGTTTACTTTATGCCAGGCTAAGTATTTCATAGCAAAAGTAAATTTTTTGTGCAGTTTGTGAAATAAATAATGGAGAGATCCTGTTAAAAATGCATTGGCTGGCTTCCTTATTTTAATATTAATAGGGCAGGTTGCTACAATAAAATTAGCTCTGCATGCTGTTTGTCACTGTACTGCCAAAGCAATCCAGTCTAATGCCATTCCTTCCTGAAATAAATCCCTAGGAGAGCAGTATTTGTGCCATTCTGAAACCTGTGACCAGGGAAGTCAGAGTCAAACTGTAAATTATGGAAAATGCAGATTTTAATCTGGGATTCCCAAGTCTGTCTTTGGTCCTGTGGCTTTCTGGCTGCTTATGTGGGCTGTTTTAATCTTATTTACACATGTGTTTTCTCTGCTGTAGTGACTAATATCCAATTGCTCGACTTATCATATTTATGGACAGCTTGATCATAATCTGTGTGGTTTCATAGTGCTGAAACTTATCCTGGCTGGGGCAAGACAATCTGAACCATGAAGGTACTTAGCTAGAACTGCCCTAGGACACAGTGCCTTGGTTTAGGAGCCCTGGGCTGAAGGCATTGGAGGAAAAAGAGGGACACTGCAGTGGACACAAAGGAGATACTGTAGTCTTTTTGTTTCTTTTTAAAGATCAATCTGTGCCTTTAAAAGGAAAAGCCCATTACCACCCCTGGACCTCTGTGATTTATAGCATGCATTTATCTGAGCCACAAGCAAAGGGGAGAAACCTGTAATGTTGATACATTTTGTTATGTGACCAGAACAGCATTTTTGTGCTTATAAATAATAGGGACACTCATTGCATTAGAGACTCTGTCAGCAGAGGTGATATTTAGGTTAAAGCAGACATTAGGGGGTTATTTGATCCTGGTTATAGATATGCTTCTGTTGAAATCTGCATTTAAGGCAAGATTTAACTCTCTTCATTTTACAGTTTGCATTGTTAGTTTAGGATCCAAATTGGAACTACATTCAAGCTTTGCCTGCCAACTGAATCTTTTTAAGATTTTATTGAATGTGGAAGTCTGTGAGGCAGGAAAGCACATATGTTTAAGTACCATCAAGGTCTACGGGTCCAAATATCTGCCTAAGTGTTTTCTTGAAAACAGTCATGTTTCAAGTAGGCTTTTTAAATTTCCACTTTAAAGAAATGTCTGGAGAGTCCCAAGAACTAGGAGACACTTCCTTAACTGGCAAACACCTGTTCTGAATAACCAGGGCTTTGCAGTTATGTCTACTTCTAATGATACGTGTTAGTTAAAAGATATGGCATTATGGGTTGTGTTTATTGTATGCACTTTCTGTAGGCTGTATGAAGTTGACAGCTCAGCCTTAATTTAAATGGTGTTCCTGGCATCAGAAATAAAACTACCCATGTTTTCCTGCCCTTTTAATTTTCAATCTGCAGGAGTTGTAGCTGAAAACTGAGAGATCTGTTTGTACATGGGAGTGTTCTCTTTGTGCAAGAGGCTGAGAGAGGTGGAATTCCCCCCATGTTCCTTGGGAAAGAGATATGACAGAAATGTCTTGCTTTATGCTGTTGGCCAAGCACAAATTTCATCCAGAAGATGAAGGTGTTGGTTGTTGGTGGTTTTTTTTATCTGCAGCAGGAGGAAAGTGGGACAAGATGAACAAATGGAAACTCTTTGCTTCTCCCTTCCAAATTACTCTAGGCAAAGGCAAAACAAGAAAGACAGGCAATACAACTGTATCTGGGAATGCCTCTGTGGAGTCCTGGCCATTGCCAGCTGCATGATTTTTATTTTCCTCTATCCTGCCAGATAGCACATGCTGGATGGAGAAAGGACAGTAGCTGGGTAAGCACAGACCCACAAATAGCACATGCTGGATGGAGAAAGGACAATAGCTGGGTAAGCACAGACCCACGGTTTTGTTCCTGTGTAAGTCATTGGTGTACAAAATAGGGTCTCGGGAAGACACTGGAGGAGCTAAATCTGGTTTTTGTGTTGTTTGACATATTAAGAGTCTCATCAAAATGTGATTTTTCCCATCTGGGTGAAGAACATGCTTACTGTTTCAGGAATGCTGTGTCTTCCTGGGTACGGAAGATGAAAGATGGGAGAGGAGATAGCTCACCACCTCACAGCAGAGAAGCTGATATTTATTCCACACTTCTCTATTTGTTTAGGCTGTTCCCAGCTCTGTATTCTAAAAGATTACAATTTTTCTGTGCTGCTGAAATTGACTTACTTTTGTTGGTTTTATTTTTTCATCTTTTGGCCTATATATCTTGTATGTTGTTCACTGCTGAACGACTCGAAAGTGTTTGGACTAATTAAAAACATTTTGGTATTCTTTTGTGCTTTTAGTGTGAAGATGATCTGCTTAACAGACAGAAAGGTACAAGTGAAACAGCACCAGAATGTGGGATGGAAGACAGAGTGGATGTTCGATACCTTCAGTGGTTAAGTGGGAGGCTGAGGTTCCAGTGGCGCAGTTTGCATGCTCAGCACCAAGAGCAATGCAAACTTTTGCACAAGGTAAATGATTCTTCTAACTCACTATGACATTGTTTATTATTTAAAAGCCTTGTCAGCTAGAGCTAAATGTACAAATTATTCTTGTTTGCTGGTTCTGCATTTTCTGTAGGTAAGAGTGAATTACTCTAAATATAAATACCTCTGACCTTTCCTCAGTGCAGCAGAACTGTGAGAAAATGCAGTATATACTGTGTTTGTAAGGTTATAATTGTATAAAAGTCTCTTTTGGACGTTGGCACATTAGTCACTTCTGCAGCTATAGAATGTTTTCAGCCTGGTAGAAAAAAGACAGAGCATTGTGTCCCACGGACAAGAATTAGTAATTCAGAACTCTAAGTTCCTTGGAAATGTGGATTCAGAATGTTGAATATATGCAATTTCCCTTTCCAGAGTACTAGGGAACAACTGAGCAGAACCCCAAATCTGCCTGCTTTTAAATCAGGAATCAGTAGCAGTCTCTACATTGCTAAGATTCCAGTTCTATTCCCATTTATGAATGATGTGTTTTATATGCCTGTCTGAAATGCACAGACATCTGGGAGCACTGTGTCTGTTTAGGATGGAAACAGCCTTCAGTCCCAAAGTTGACAGTGGTGGTGACTGCAGAGACTGATTTAAAAGACCTGGTTCTAAAGATAGTCCTAAAAGTTATTCAGTAAGGTTTTCCCTGCTCCATATTTTTCCATTCCTATCTCTTCAGGTAGCTTAAATGGAGCCAGTTATTATTGCACCCAGAGCCTTCACTGAAAACCTTTCTTGAGACTAAGAATGGTTTGGGGAAATTTCTCCTCAAAGAACAACATTTATCAGAAAGATGACGATGAAAGATGATCAGAAAGGATGAAGATGCCTTCTTGGTTTTAATGCTGTGTCTGATAGAGCAGTGCTGAGAACTATAATGAGGTTATGTTTTGTTCTTTCCACAAATTGATTGCTAGGGAAACTGAAAACCTTTCTTGAGACTAAGAATGGTTTGGGGAAATTTCTCCTCAAAGAACAACATTTATCAGAAAGATGACGATGAAAGATGATCAGAAAGGATGAAGATGCCTTCTTGGTTTTAATGCTGTGTCTGATAGAGCAGTGCTGAGAACTATAATGAGGTTATGTTTTGTTCTTTCCACAAATTGATTGCTAGGGAAGATGTCGACAGCCTTATCAGGTGCTGTGTGTGCAGCATCTAAAATAACCTTTTGCTTCTCGTTGCCCACTGCGGCTGTGCTTCCCTGATCTGGGAACAAAGACAGCAATTCACTGTAAGTGCAGGTGCAGTCCTTGGCTTTTGCACTGTGATTACAGACTGTGATGCTATTGGGAGAGGTGGCTGAGTGATACAAAACTCAAACGAGATGATTGGCATCTTCTCCCTCTGATCAACTATCTCTGTTTAAGGTATGCTGATTTTTATAGTGGGTGAGGCAACTACCTCCATAACTCATCATCAGTATTCTGATTTATGTAGTACTTGACAGTAGTAAATCATTAGGCAGCTTCAATATCTCAGCTTGGAGTTAATGAGGCCAAGGAAGAATTAAGAGCAGGTCAAAGCTGGGACCTTAAGTACAAACAGAGATACTCTCAGTGGTCCAGATCAGGCACTGAAATAATGAAGAGATATGCTGATTGGGCAACATGCTAAACTTGTTGACAGGGGAGATAAGGAGATGATGACCTCCTGTGGGGATTGTCCTTTGAAATAAACTTGGACTTGTTTTTTTTTTGCCCCCCTGTGGCTATCCAAGGAAAAATGTTTGCTAAAGTTAACTGCTACAGTCAGACAAATATAAGAGAGAGGTTAGTTATGCTGTGGTTCCCTGGACTACAATTTCCAGAATCTGGAAGAATAAGCAGGAGGGAGAATATTGTTGTGTTCATCCAGTTTCCAAAAGCAGCCATTGCTGGACTAAGCTGAAAGCAGTAACTGGTGGTGATTCTCATGTTGTGGCTGTGATTTGCAGTGTGTAGAGAGCTGCCACCATGGGTGTATGCACAGGAGAATAGAACAGAGCCCAACTCCTCCATGTGTGAACCCACACTGATATTATGTGTCCTCAATACATGTATGCAACTGTGGGAGTTCTGTGCAGAGCTGTAATAAAGTGCAGTGCTTTGATTTATATTTTAGTCTGAATTAAAAGCAGGAGAATTGAAAGGTAGAGGTGACTTTGGAAGGGGCTTTATTACAGTGCCACATTAATGTTAACCTTTATGGTTACACAAAATATTACATACTTACACAATTTAACAGGTGCATAAACAATATTAGATATTTCCTGACTCTTTCTAGAGAAATCGTTTGTACTATTGCATCTGCTTCAAAACTTTTAAACTAGTCTGTGTGTTAAAAGACTGAGCTGACACAATATGACCTCTATATCAGCTACTGCTTTTCTCTAATAAACCACAAACACAGTATGCAAAGGCTAATGAGTGTTATGTTTTTTAATTATGTTGACAGATTTACAGAGGACTTTCTTTACAAAGTGATAATTATGGCTTTTACTCACTCTGTTTAATAACTTACCAGGTTATGTATCTCAACTGCGCAACGGTCTTATTTACTGCTGATCATGAGCTATAATTTTTGCCAACTAGTGGCGACACTTCCAGATTTCATTCTGTGACTCACACAGCCTCTAAAATACCATATTCTCTATTTGGGCCTTTCAGAGAAAAACACATCACAGTTGGAAAATATGTTCTTATTCAGAAGATGACTACACTTCCACTCTGTATTTTTTTAGTACAGATATTGCTGGGGCCTCCATCCCCTCTATCTACTCTTTCCTGCCTGCACCACTTAAAGTTGATGATACGAAGTTCTGCAGTACCCAGAGTAGGTTGCTGAAGAGGAAAGCCTCCCTGGAACTGCAGCTGGTTAAGTGCTGGGAATTGCTTGTTAGGTGATCTGACTGGCTGTTTCTCTTTGCTAGTTCTCCTGATGAGCTGCTTTTCAGTGACTTCAGCTCCCAGAAGGCATGTTGAAGCTTACAGATGCACACATGTCCTGCTGCAGGAGACTTCCTCAGGGAAATCTTTACCTCTCTGTTGCTGAGGAATTTTGCAGCCGGAGGCTATGAGCTGTTGAGTAACATTATAATGGTTTCTAAACGTGGACAGGTTGGCTCCCTTTGAAAGTATAATCTAGTAATACCGTTATAATTCCCTCAATTCTCAGTGGTACCCGATTTACCCGATATTTATAATTCCCTCAATTCTCAGTGGTACATATTTACCCGATACGCCTTCAAATATATGGAAACGTGAAGAATAAATTACTGTGTTAAGGTATTGCCTCTTGGTTCCTTCTCTTCTGTTTCTTCCTTTTTCTGTCAATGCCAGAGGAATATCTCTCTGCCTGGTTCTTGATCCCTCTTGAATTCATAGGAGAGAGCAGCTGTTTTTGTTTAGTCTTTGAATTGCCACTTTGCCCTAAAAAATGTGAATGAGAAGCCTTGCATAGTTTCAGACAAAACAGGTAGGAACATGTATAGTTTAAAGCCGACATTGTTTTTGGGGGCTGTTAAATACACTGTGCCACAATCAGCATATGAAAAGAAATGCTGGAATAAGTGAGTTTCTGGAAAACTGATGGATCTCTTAGGGGTGTTTTCAGCTGTCTTCCAGCCTGAAATAGTGGAGGGTTAGATCAGGTTCAGAGATGAATTTTGTCAAGCAGATGAATATCTGATTGTGGACTTTGGGTATAGGCTGGTAAGGATAAAATGATATTAAATGGAATTCTTGATGATAGAAGAAGAGTTTAACATAATTGGAATTACGAGTTCATGGTAAAATCACAGAATCACAGAGTCATTAAGGTTGGAAAAGACCTCTGAGATCATCAAGCCCAACCTATGACCTAACGGCACCTTGTCAACTAGGCCATGGCACTAAGTGCAATGTCCAGTCTTTCCTTAAACACCTCAGGGGACAGTGACTCCATCACCTCCCTAGGCATTAGTCCATTCCAATGTCTAACCACTTTTTTTGTAAAGAAATTCTTCCTAATGTCCCACCTGAATAAAAAATAAATAAGAATATAAAAAAATAAAGCAACAGTAATGGTTGTAATGTGCTTGGGAACTGTAAGAGCAAGAGTTGTATTCTGTCAGTAAGAATGCAGAGCAGCACTGAGAACTACCACCTATGAAGAGAGTGGTTTCTTGTGCCTCATCTGAGATAAACAATATAAAATAAGATGTAGTGCAGTGGATTGGATTGGTCATATCTATATATCTGATGATGTAGTAGGAGTAAAGGGACAAGGAGAAAGTCTTGATCTCTGAATAATAGAGGGCAGAGACTGGTGCTGGGTAATTACCTCATTGCCAGTTATTTATGAGTGAGCTGAACTGCAATTGTTAGATGCATCTGTATCTTGACACGAACAAATTGCCATGTTGCTCCATAAATTACAACATTGGTTAATAATATATGTTTTTGTCTATTTGATTTGAAAATCTTTGGGGTTTTTTTCCTAAAATGAATTTGTCATTAAATCTCTGAAGTGCATTCTTTAATGCAGTGGAATTTTTTCCTCTCATGCACAAGCCCCCTTTTCATCTCCTCTTAGGTGAATTAGCAGGGAGACCAGGCTGTCTAAGCTCAAGGGCATTGAGGAATTGGGACTGGTAACTCCCCAGAACTGGTGCTAAGTTGGGGAGCTGTGCCTGTACACTCATGCAAAGGTTAGTGTAAGGTGAAATCAGACCTGCCTCCACCATGGTGCATTCCAGTGCCATCAAGCAACATCTATACATGCTCTGTCTCTCATCCTCTCACCTGCCTCTTTTACCTTGGTACTGTTTCCCTCTTTAAGCCTTGTTTTATCTTCAGTGTGTTGTGGTTAATAGTAACAGTAAAAATATAAGTATTATTCCAGTATCCATCTAGCCTGGTCTCAGGAGAACACCATCTTCCTCTGTTGTCACAGCTTTAGAATATTTGTTTTGGGCTTTAGCCAGTGATGCTGCTGCTGCCACAGAAAAGGGGCTGAAATTGATTCCTGGTGCTGGAGGCCCAAAGGTTTGGCAGCCAGAGTTACGCAAGAATGCAGCAGGGAGAGGAGTGGCAAGTAGAGAGGAAGAACATTGTGTGGGGAGGTTCTCTTTTATTTTTAAACTCGCATAGCTCTGCACATGTGACAGATGGTTGTCACTAGAAGTGAGTTTTGGGAAAGGAACGCTAAAATATTCTGAAGTTGCAAGGAAGGGTTGATAATTACCCAGTGCCTGTCAACTTTAAAATAGTTGTCAATACCCAAGTGTATGATAAAGTTCATATTAGAATAAAGGAAGAAAAGCAGGAAATATTCTCTGTCTTCTGGTAGAAATATTAATGAAATATGAGTGATTGTCTGACAAATGTGCACTGCTATCTTGTTTGGCAGCTGCAGTTATTACAGTAACAAAGGGATCAGCTCTGAATAGGAGGAATTGCTTTTTATTGTTCCCTTGACTAACTTGGGAAGCTTCTTCACCAAGTAATTGATGATACCATCACTAGTGCAGCTGGGACAAGGTCTTGGTAAGCAAAAGCCAACAGTATATAGCAGCAAAAGAGGAACTTACTGTAAGTAGGTAGCACTTTCTACTTTTAAGGAAGAAATAAAAAATTATTTTGAGAGTATCCCTTAGCTCTGTAGTATGTTTATGCTGATAGACTTCTGCTATCTGTGTAAATGATTTCTCCTTTCATGCTATGCACAAGAGTATGTGTAGTGCAAGGAAAGACTTTAAGACAGGATGAAAAGAGAAATTTTTCAGTTTTACTGTGGCAGCAGTGGTCACAATTCCTGCATGTAGTTCTGGTATCGCTACCAGGTGGACCATTTTGTGGTATGTTTGTGGTACATGGTCAGCCTTTCCATTCTGTCTGTTTTAGAAAGGTTTGTTGCATTGGTGGTAGTAGTAAGTGTCCATTGGGAATAAAGGTTTGTTGCATTGGTGGTAGTAGTTACATTTGTAAGTGTCCATTGGGAACGTGCTTGTAACCACTGGTTCACATCACCATTCCAGTCCATGCAGCTGTTGGGTGGTAGCTGCTGATGTTGTTAATGATCTCGTTCTTGCACTGACAAATATCTTTTAAATTAATCTATTCCAGATCCATTTATTCACTAGTGGCTCCCACGTGAACCAGGTCCTTGGACATTTTTCTGTCACAGAAACCGATCTCATTAGACAACCGGAGAACTACACACAGGTAATGCTTCTCCTGTAATTCTTGGGTGCTTTATATGCTTTACACAAACATTATTCAGCAGAAGACTGCATTCATTAGAACATTTTTTAAAACTTGATTTCCAGCAGAAATATGGAGTTATGTATTGAATTGTCACTTTCCTCACTTAACAAATCTGGTTTGATAGAAGATAAAAACAAAGGTGTTAGTCTAAGTTTTATAAAAACTGGTAGGCAGGGAGTGGGGAGAGACCTAACTAGAAGTGCCACTGTAGAAAAAGCTTGTAGATGAAAACATTTCAGATCAGTTGTCTGACTTGCTGTTGTATACTACCAGTAACCACATCTGGGCCAGCCAGGCAGTGTCTGCCTGTGACCTTGCCTGAGTGGGTTGTCAGTGAGAACATGGAGAGATCTGATTTATCTCTTCCAGAGAGCTGAAGCACATCTGATGCTAAAATTCACTGGTTCCAGAAATTGTGCAAGTTGACTGCCTTTTTGGATGATAGGAAAGGGCTTTGTTTTAGAAGAAGGAGAAATATTTTAGAGGTGCAGAATGGGCTTTATTTTAGAAGAAGGAGAAATATTTTAGAAGTGCAGAATGATTGAGGTTGGAAGGAGCCTCTGGAGGTCACCTGCTCCAAGCCCCAGTTCAAGTGCAGTCACCTAGAGCAGGCTGCCCATGACCATGTCCAGATGGCTTTTGAATATAGAATCATATAATCATCAAGGTTGGAGGAGACCTCTAAGATCATCAAGTGTAATGATTAACCTGCTACTCTGCTGTAACCCCTAAAATATCTCCCATGGTTGGAGGCTCCACAGCTTCTCTGAATGACCTGCTCCACACCTTGTTATCCTCACAGTAAAGTGTTCAGACAGAACCTCTTAGGACATCGTTTTTCCTAGTGTACTTTTTTACCCTTGAGTGTAGATTTCTGCTGTTCTCAATTACTTAATTATCATCAATGTTTCAGTTTATTATTTGAAGTAATATGATTCACTTCTTTTAATACAGTATAATGCATTTGTTTTAGAAATCAGTTTGTAAAAGTTCATTCTGTGTGAAACTGAAACAAGATGGAAATATTAAGCTCATCCCTAACAAAGTCAATATTTGTCAAATTTCTGCAGTCTGTCCAGGTCTGTTTACTCAAAGAAGATATGCTTCCTGCTGCTAGCTTAAGAACAAAAGTGAGCATTGTAAATATTCTGCACAAAGAAATTCAGAAAAGTAGATTTGAAGGTGGGAGGATAGTTTTATGCTCAAACCCACTAAAGTAAAGGGCACGTTAATCTTTCATTACTGAGCATACCTTGGATGATCAGTTCACATTCAGCCTCTTGATAGGATTCATCTGTTTAGAACGTTTTCCTGGAAAATTATTGTTTTTCTAGAGCAAATGGCTTTAAGTCAGCTTGAGATTTCTTTCTCACTTCTGCTTTGCAGTCCCTCTGCTGCAGTTTGCTCAGCAGCTCGGAACACACAGCAGCACATTCCTCTGAAGTCTATGATGTATAGTCTTCCAGAACTTGGCTAATGTCTCTAAAGGTCTGGTGGGCTGGTATTAGAACCTTCCAGGCTGTGTAGAAGGACTTTGCAACTACCTTTTCCCCAAAGCCTTACCCTGAGTACATCACTGATCTCTTACAGCAAAGCATAATGATACTCTTATAATGCCTGTTTGGTTTGGACTACTGTCAGTGAATCATTCTAGGAGTTTTTATTTCTACTCTGCTCCCTTTCCTGGATGTCTGCTTCAGGTGTGCTATTCGGGGGGGCTCAGGATAAAATGGAAAGAATCTTTCTGGATTGGAAGCATTGTGGTTAGGTAAAATGCTGTAGTCAAGGTTTAGCGGGCGACTGTGTTACCTAGTTAAAATTAGTGGAGTCTTCATTCCACCATTCCCAGGCTTAAACAGCAAATACATGAAACAAGAGACACCCTTCAAAACAAGGGTGGTGACTGAGTGGCACAGAGGCAGTGTGGCAGAAGATGTTTTCTTTAAATAAACTATGTGTGGCCATAGTCTCTATCTCCAGTTTCTGTGCTCTGACAGGTGCAATTCCAAACAGGCTCCAGCTCCAGTGCATGTGTGTTGGAAATTCTTTTCTGATGTCGCTTACTGCTTGGACCGATCCAAAATTGGAGTTGTTCATCAGTATAATCAGCTGTGAAATTCTTAACCTCTTGAAGCTCTCAAACCTATTCAAGAAAGGAGTTCCTCTCAGCTGCTCTCTTGTGCCTGATTCTAAAATAAACAGGGGAAATTGCAGGAAATCATCACAACACTTCAGTATACATGTTTTCAAGAGGCTTATAATTTTTATGGTCAACATTTGAGCAATCTTTATAGTTTTTGTCTCCCCTTACTCTTATTTGCCTAAAGCAGCTTCCAAAAGTCATATGCTCAGTATGTATGAAGAACCTGATATAACAAGGTGGTGTGGACTTGAAAAGACGAGGTTGCTTTGAGTGTCACTTTTCCAGATGGATCTAATACTCAATATGCAAAGTGATGCTGCTTTGGAAAATGTAATAAAAAGCCTCTAATTTTCAAATATCTTGTTAAGATTGAGTAAATGATGCATACTTGAATAGCTTGGTTTTCAAATATTGGTGCAGATGGCAACACTCTGCCAAATGTTTTATCCAAAAACTGTGAAATAGTTTTCTTCTTTTCAACTAATGTGACATTTCTCTTAACATTACCTCAAATAACAACCTGCTGCATGGATCAATAAAAAGATCAAGCGTGTCAATATGCCTTGCTGTAATGCACCCCTCTTGGTGGATGGTGTTATGAATTCCTTCTTATCTTAGGCATCCTTCAAAGCACAGCAATGCAAAGTGGATCGAAGCATCAAAAATTAGCTACCACAGGAAGGGCTTTGGGCTCTTTTTATTTAAGCCTCGAGTTCATTTTTGTCAAAAATATCCTGCGAGATAAGTTGCTCTTACTTGTAACAAAACAAGAGATGTTTAGTCTGACAGAAAATGTGTGATAGGATACAGATAGCTGTGAAGTTAAGCTTCAGTTGATGAAATGGAAAAGTCATGATGCTCCTTTTTTATAGAAGTTGCGTGTTAACTTGTTTAAAATGTTCTTCCCTTGGATTTCTGACTATAAAACTCTTTTAGTGCTTTTATGTACAGGGATTTTACTGGACATTATTATTCTTCTATCACCGTAAATGTCTTTGTCAGATTCATGGAGCTGGAAGTTTTCCAAACCTAATGGTTTTAATTATGTTTTTCTCTAGTGGGACATGATCAAAATTCCAGCTTTTCCTGTGGTTTGGCTTGGCTGTGGTTATATATATATGTGTGTGTGTGTGTGTGGCTGTGAGTTGCCAGTCACTGCTGTGTTTACTTCCTGTGCTGCCCAGGGATGTTGGGGAAGGGGAGGTGGTGTTATTGCAGCTGGAGTTCAGTTTCCAGCTGAAGTACATGTGCATGCTCATCTTAGCTCTTGACCTCTACACGTACGTCCTCTCCTTCCTAAGATACTGTCACGTGTTTTTGTGCACTCCCTGGCTTGCAGAGTGTTGCAGAAATATGCTGGTGGTCATTTTCTCAGCTGAAGCACCCCAGTCAGTGGTGATGATTTTGGAGCCATTTGCCTGCAAGGCTGTGCTAGAGTGTGCAAACTGGGGACATTACTGCATGGCAGGGTGCAGCAGCTATGCATTGCTAGGGAGCTTGGATAGTCATTGTGTTTTTTCTTGAAAGCCTCTTGCACGTGTCACTTAGAGTGTCCTAGAACATAGTCTAGAGCATCTCGAATGTCTTGTGTTTTGGTGCATTTTCCAAGCTGATCAGTACTGCTTGGTTTTTAAAAGGTTCCCCTAATCAACTGGGATGGACCTGGGGAGCTGCTGTTATTTCCCCGTCTGAAATATCTCAGGGCAGAAAGGGAGTTCTGGTCTCTGGCACTGCAGCTAAAATAGTTTGGAAGGATATTTGGGACAGCATGAAGAAGATGTGGCTGAGGGTAGGGAACACCTGCCCCAAACTTTCCAGGGCAGTATGGACTATTGTGAGGATGTGGTCTCATTCCTCTTGCAACTGTAAGGACATTGGCTGTGATGTGCAGCCAGCTGGGTAGTTTTTCATTTTTGTGAGCATAATATAATCCTATTCTTATCTCTCAAGCCTCTTTAATTCCACATTGCAATGTCACCAGTGCTGAAGTTTACCTTGAGCTTGAAAAAATGTATGTTGCACTTGAGTCATTAAATTACCTTTCTCATCCAATTGTTATCATATAGAGATCAATGAACTTTGAAGCAAAGCAGCCTAGTCCTTCAGCTTCTTCTGTCTCTTCATACCCTCCTTTATATGTGGAATTCAATCTTAGCAGAGATTAAAAGTTGAATCTCAGGTCATCAGTACATTGCTGGCAGTGCTGGAGTGATCATTGAAATTGTAATGAGTAAAGATGACACCTTTAAATGCCAGTAAATCAATTTACTGAGTGTGACAGCAAATAAATAATGCATCTGTCTGCCAGATGGACATGCAATGAAATTCCTAGAACTTGGATGTGAATAGCTGATAATTTTGTTTCAGAAATATATGAACAATATTTATGCTTGTTGATCATTAACACATTTTAAAGGTGACTTATTGGTCTTAAGAAATTAAGGTCCTTGGTAGCAAGTAAGTGGGAGCAAACAAATACTCTTTCTGACTTTGCATACATAATGTATGGTCAATGCCCATAATACTTGAGCTTTCCAAGCAGCAGGGATTGAGTAGGATGGGACAGGATGCTCCAGGCATAGCACTGATCTGTTTTCTGGCCTGTTCATGTGTCAGGGAAGGAAACCAATGTAAAGTATGTGTATTGCTTCCTTCAGTCAATGGAACTCCATAACTTCTTATTGGGTCATTCAAGGGGTAAATTATCAAAATGTAGGATAAGCTGATTTAGAATCCTAAATCTTATGGCAGTTTCCATTTAAAACATCTGTCCCAGGCAGCTGTTAGAGATGGGTGACGGTGCAGGTTTGTTCTC